AATACGTAAATGCACCAACAGTGTTAAACTGGCGAGGAAAAATCTTTCAAGAGATCATGCAGTGTGGGAAAAGAAAAAATGTACTGCTTGCCAAACTGCAATAGAAAAATTCAAAAATAATGTGCTTGGCTGTCTGTAGCAATCACCCTCATCTCATTTGTTTTAAAAATCTGTTTTAAAATCTCTTTTTAATCTGTTTCACCGTCAATCATCTGTCGTCCCCATACGAACGACAACTCTCAGAAGTTGAGAAACTTGTGCGAGCTAAGGACTAACGAGGTCTTGCCTTTCAACGTGTGATTCCTAACACGGTTGCAAAATCATCCCAGTTTTAACCAGATAAATTCTCACGAGAAAAATATCTGGTCGAGGCGGGAATCGAACCAACGGCCTTCCGATCGTGAGTCGGGCGCACTACCACCGCGGCCAATTCCACATGAGGCTTTAGATCAGTCTGCGACCTCCCATGATCCTACCCTACGAAATGAGAATCACACAACATTTTATTATCAAAATACCCGTGATCTGCGATCTGAAACACCTCAATTTTTCAACCCAATTTCGATGACTGGATTCCCGATTGTTGCACTGACAGAAACTCGGTTGGACCAATCGGTCAGAAATGAAGAGTTATTCCTAACTGCTATGAGGTATATCGCTCTGATAGAAAATTCTCTGAATGCAATTGCTCAAAAGGTGGAGGAGCTCTTATTAATAATAATAATAAATGAATTTATCGACAGCAGAAATGACATGATACAATATGGTGAAAAACAAAATACAAATTTGTCAATAGAATGCAAGATTGAACATAGTTCATTCTTCCTCTTGAAGATGAAAAAGATGAAAAACAAAAAAAATAATGAAGGACCTAAAATTGTAATTGTAATTGTGATAGCGAATACAACATTCAATTCGAATAAAAAGGGGAGATGAGGCGGATATCGATACAAACATAAGAATACCACCAATTTTTTAGCTATGGCCTACAAGAGCCAATGTGTCGTAGAATATATTCGGGTATTATTGTTTTTTCAACAATAATACCTGGTTTTTCGACCGTTTGTGGCATGAGGGTTTGCTGGCCAAATTTCGATGATATGACTTGTTGGAGCATTTTTGTGTATGGCTCTCCAGATTCCTGAAAGAACGTTCTCTGCAAGTGACCGTCGATGGATAATTGTATATCAACGAATTGCTCTGCTGACGAAAGCACACATGTTTCGTCATTCCATTTGGATTCCAGGGCATTGGCTGCTGATGCACATCTTCACCGGCAGCAGAAGGTTCATCCCTACTGTAGTCCAACAACTGTTTGGTATCAAGCTTCATGGGTGAATAAACGCCTTGGAGTGAGCCAATCCTGGAAGATTCTGCCAGAAGTCCACAAATCTTCTTGCCATCCAGGTGCCAATGACAGGTTCTGGTCCGATGAAGGTGCTTGCAGCACACTCCTCTGCAAGGGAGTCAGCAGCCTCATTGCTTACCAGGCCAGTATGGCCAGGAATCCAGAACAGAGACAATCTGTTAAGTCTTCCTATAGAGGATAGTCGTTTTTGGCAATTTGCTACCGATTCAGACGTTGCTCTGTAGGAGCCAAAAGCTTCCAACGTCGCTTGACCGTCCAAGAATACTTTTATTGACTTTTGTATGAGGTTGTATTCTTCCAATCTCTTTGCACACAATTCAATGGCTTGAAATACAGTCGCATAGGTTTCTAGGCAGGTTGATATATCTGTCCTAGGTCTGCGACTGAAAACACCTGCACCAGAACCGGTAGGTGTTTTTGATCCATCTGTGAACCAACAACTATCTGCTCTTGATATTTCCTTCTCCTGGATGATCCAGTCCTCTGTACTAAGGAACAGTACTCCATAAGGCAGTTCGTAGTTGACAGTTGGAGGCATAAAGTCAGAGGTCATTTCCAGAATGCTGTTACTTCCAGTGTCAACCAACAGTATGTTGCACTCTGCATTAAATTGAATTGTGCGATTGGCACAATTCCAGAAAAATGTGGAGAGGTGGTAGATCTAAAAGGATCTCCATGGCCGCTGATGGCCGGACAAGCCTGTCTCTATAACCCAGAGAAGTTCGCCTGAGCCGTTTTCTGTAGATCCTTCGGCCACCAAGCAATTGCACCATGAGTGATCATTGGTCTGAGGATCATTACATGTTTGGGACCTTAACCCAAGTTTCACCACAAATCCTTCGACATGTTCATAGGGACAGACTTTTTCCAAGTGTGCGTTCCAGATGAGTGTTTTATCAAGGACAATGCCAAGATATTCCACCTCCGTTCCAAATGGAATGATCTCACCATTGAGGGAAACTGACGTTAGATCGTCTAATTTTCTCCTTCTGGTGAAGGGGATTATCAAAATTTTGCTGGGGTTGACAGACATCTGCTCCCTCAGGCACCAACTGTGAACAACGTCCATCGTACTTTGGAGGATATTACAAGCTTTCCTTCCCGATGTGGACCTTGCCAAGATGACAAAGTCATCTGCATAAGCTTGCAGACCTCCTTTTCTTCTGTAGGGGGCATCAAGAAGACTATCCATCAGGAGCGACCACAGAAGGGGAGATGGTACCCCACCTTTTGAGGGCAGCCTCTGGTGACCCGGAACCTGATGGCCTCGCCTTGAAGAGTCGTAGTTGTAGTTCACCAGCATGGCATAGATCCAGCCAGTTATGGTCGATTCTATACATTTCCTAGCCAGAGACGATCCCATAGATTCAGAAAGTGCATTGTCAAATGCTCCTTCAATATCGAGAAATACAGCAACCGCAATCTCCTTGTTGTCAAGGGATTGGGAGATTTTCTCTACAAGGTTGTTTAATGCTAAATATCTCGATTTGCCGGTTGTTCAGGCGAGATGCATGATGTGTCCGTATAGTATCCTCTCAAGTCCTTTCAACAGGAAGGATGTAAGGTTGATTGGTCGTACCGTTTCAGGGTGTGGGTCTTCCCGTACCACTTAAGATATATAGGTATACCAACCTTTCTGCCAATCAACTAGGTGATATATAATTCCACGCCAGATTAGCTCTATACAATTTTACGAGAATAAGTAAAATTATTTCCCGTCCATTTTGACGGAAATATACCATCCTCTCCAGAAGATGTGAATGGCCGAAACGACTTTATACCCCACTCAACTGCCGATGCTGTGATAACCTTCTTGACGAACTCCCAATCGTTTTTATTTGGGCGTTTAGCGCCTTCGGAGATGAGAGGTCTGTTGTTATCAACAGTCAGATTTTCAGGAAAGTGGTTTCCTGTCGAAAGCTCTAACGTTTCTTTACCAGAAGTCGTGTTGAAATGTACTAAGTATGAACACAAAACAGACAAACTTCAGCACCAAAAAATCACTAATTTTATATTGTTTGATTTTCGTTCAATTGATGAACCTAAAATTATTATAAATATTTCAATTATTTCGGTCTTTACTTTTGTCGTGTGTGACACCGAGCTCAAAAAGTTCGCCATCACTGCTCTAGACCATAGAATCTGGTTTCAAAAATATATCTTAATATATATCTAATAAACAACTATCAACAACAAACGAATATCAAATAAATAACTTTTTCCTATAAAGTGTTTAACGAAGAATGATTCGTTTTCGAAATACAGATTGTTGAAATTTTTCAAAACATGGTAGGTGTTTGTCATGAGTTTTTTGCAATTTTAGTTATTTTCATCAAATATTTTATAGAAAAAAAGTTCTTCATTTTAACGAGATCCACCACATACTTAGTTTTTGTAATGTTCTCAGCAACTTTCCTTAGCGCCCTAGGAGCTAACTACTATGCATCGATATAGAAAATTGTAAATATCTCGAAAACGATAACCTCCAGCGTTGTTGAGAAGGTGTACCTTTTTTTCTTGGAAGAGGTGTGGGAATCAGGTTTTTTCATGGAAGGTACAAAAAGTTAGGGTAATTTGAAATAAATAATGACAGCGTACGCAGCGCCCTCTAGATGTTACATGAAAATTTATAAGAAATTATGATTTCCCACGTCAAAAAAACCCCGGTACCAAATGTCGTGCAAATAACTTATTTTAGAGTTATTTTCAAAAAGCAAATAAAAAAATTAAAATTCAACATCCCGTATCTCCGAAACGAAGCATTTTCGGACACAAGTTCATATATACTTTTTTTCTTAAAATTGTCTCAGGAATACGTCACTTGAATATTTTAACGTACTTATGTTACTTATGTTACTTATGTTAGAAACACATTTGAAAGTCTATAACATTATTCACACTTAGAATTATATTATCCAATTATATTATCTATATGCAGTATCTATAATGCGCCAACATTATCAACCAACTACCACTCCCCACTTCGTGGGGTAACTGATCATTGGGTCCGAGAATCATGTGCCCTGAGCAAGCGCAGTAAGCCTTCTGCATCTGTCCGGCTGAGATTTCTGCCTTAGTGCGGCAAGCCGGTATGATTTTAAGATTCGAGAGTAGAGCATCATTCCACCAAGGACTCCAATAATTAGAACGACCATCTTGACAGAGTGGTCTGGATAGAGTCTGCTGCACTTCTCGTCTCCCACAACGGATTCCATATGCCCTGGAGCCCTACGCTACGGAGGATATTGAATTATTATTATTATATTTGGACGTCCTTATAACACTTTCCGACCCATTGCTTCGCTTGCACGGTATTTTTTCCTATCAAGGAGCAGTGTAAAATTGAAACACGAAATTGTTTTTGATCCATTGTTTTGAAAATAACAAAAGTAGTGTCACTCTTAGCACAATAACTCACAAACTTATGAGTAGAAAATCATGAACAGCTTTCTTTTGAAAGTTAGTACTAATTGAAAAAGCGGCGAATGCAATTAGACTAGTGCCATTGATAATTTTTGCGAAAACTGTGTTCCCTCAGTTATGCCTTAGGGTACTTTTTTATGGCTCACCCTGTACGACTGTGTTTGGAAATAATTATGATTAGTGGAAAAGTGAAGACAACACAAAGCCATTCCTTACAAAAAAGTATTTTATTTACATCTATACTTTATGCATATATTAATAGTAAGACCCAACGACATCTTAACATTTAAATTAAATAACAAACATTGGTAACATCACAGACACATATTTACGAACAAATGAATCACATTTTCATGGAAATATCAAGTACAGTTTTCATTCACATTCTCGTTTTCAGCGTGACTTTGACGCCATTTTTCGAAAAGAGAACTGTCTCAGCCGCTAAGATTGGCACATGACCGCAAGATACTATTTCGAACTTCAAGAGTAGTTTCGCAACGGTCGCTTTCATCTCCAGCATGGCGAATTTTTGGCCTAAAATAACAAAAAATATTTTCATCAATTTCGAGAGGTTATTAATTTCATGGCAGGGACAAATTTGACTTTAGGAGAACAGTAAATTATTTGCTGATGAGTGCGACGACTTTCCGAAAAATCGTCACCCTTACTTCGATTTCTGTTGAAAACAGTTGAACTCAACTTCAACACTGAACAAACATAAATAATAGCAGAAAATTCAATAATGATAACAATGGAAACATTTATTTTTCTCGAAATTTCAACTGATAGATAAGAAAAAATGTTTCAATGCATGGATTAGCAAAAACTTTTATCTAGGTGGATCTGACATCAAAAAAGTCTACAAATTTAATAACTGATTTCAAAATAACAATTGATGTTATTACCTATGCAATTTCGTGGTCCAGCACTGAAAGGGATGTAACTATAAGGAGCTGGCTTTTCACTCTCAAATCTCAATGGGTTGAATGTGTTAGGATCTTCATAATACTGACCATTGCGATTGGCGCCATATATGTAAAGAATCAAACTCAGTCCTTCTGGTAGGATTTTTCCATCTGAAAAAACACAAAAATCGTGATGAATTCATACTAATATTATTGATGTGAAAGTTTATAAGGATGGATAAATGAATGTTTGTGGCTCTTTCACGCCTAAACGACTGAACGGATTCAGATGAAACTTTACATAAATACAGCTTATACATCACAATAACATCTAGGCTACAGTTCACAAAGGTTTTGTATAATTTTGGTCATGATATATCGATAAGTATTAAGTAAGTCGGGAAAATTCCTGCTCCCTGAGAGCTATATCTTGGCGTGCGCTGCCTATACCGTTGGAGTTACATGTTCCATTTATCATTTGATTCATTTCTGTTGTTGGTAATTTTTATAAAATTAAAAACACGTTTTCAACTTTTGATTTGTTGATTTTAAATAAACTAGAGACAACTCCACAATCCCTATGTGAGTTCGTAGCTGAGTATGTGAAGTATTATTTCATTGAATGGTTACTCCATCTTTTCTGTAAAGTTCATAGACTTTCATACAGGGTCAGTAAAAAAATTATGGATTTGGAAATTTGTCATCATAAACAAACACTTTGTATGAGATATTAGGCTGCGGTTTGAAATCGCACACACTGTATACTACAAAAACATTGAAATCCATTTTGAGCTCAGTTAATTTGAATATCTAGACGTACCTTCGTATTTAACATCTTTGTTTAGTATTCTTCCGGTGAAGGGAACAGAAGGATAAAGCCTGAGGGTTTCGTTGATAACCATTTCCGTATATTTCATACTTTGCAGATCCGCGACTGTTACCGGCCTAGATTTGTCGTCTCCAAAAATGGTTTCCAGTTCTTCCACGATTTTTTCCTGGAAACAATGATACATTCATGAAAATGGACTGAATAAATCAGGTGAAGTTATGAAAAACATAATTGAAAAAAAGGTTGAGTTAATGATTCCATTTCAAGAAAGATATAGTAGTGTTAGTCGCAATAAACGAAACACATCTAGAATCAATCTAATGCCTGAACCTGACCTGATTTTTTATACACTCTGCGGAAGTACTTTATTTTGCAATTATTTCTAATCACTCAGTCGGGCAGTGAATTACTGTTCATTTTATTCTGGAATGAACAATATCATGCAGAGGAGTTTTTTTCAGATACACACTGGAAGATAAAGGTCGTTTTCTCATTCATAATGAAATTGAAACAGATATTCTCGAGAATGCTACACTACGTAATGTATAAAAAAATTAATAACTTCACAAGAGACAAAGTATTCAATCATTTCGAACCATCACGACTCTAGTCACGATAACAACTCGTATAAACTCGTAGTTTAATTTGAATGAAAGTTCAGTTATTTAAAACGTTGTTGATAAGACAAACGTCTTGTCCCAAAACTTCTAAGTACACCAGGAATCAGCACTAAAATGCAAAAACACTTGTAAGGTATGGTAAAAAAGGTTGATGCAGTAAGTATTCTCATACAGTTGTCCTCAAAACGATAACAATTACTACAAGTAACTGTACTTCTTGGATTATTACCGTTGACAACAAACTATATTTTTTCAATTTGTAACTATTCAGAATTAAAATGTTAGTCATTCAAGAAAAGTCATCTATCAGAACTGCCAGATGTTTTTTTTTCTTCCTATCATTTGTATATATGTAGATGTTGGGGACATGTTTATATCTACGACAATTTTGTTTTGATGTGCTTTTCTGTATGTCTTCCATTTCCTCATTACCTAATCAATGATACACCAGTAAATAATCCTACTCACTTTCAATTCAAATGCAATTCAAATTGCAAATATATCTGCTGAATATAAATGAAAGTGTTTCAACTTACTTGATTCAAGTACCCCAGTATTGTGCGTTTTTCACTACACAGTTTACAAAACCGCAACACGTGTTTTCCTATGTGAAACGTCTCTACAATTTTCAATAAATGAATGTAAAAATATAATTAATTGAAATCCGTACATTGTTGCGACTTTTCTCGACCTTAAAAGGGCATTTCAAACAATTTGCCGAAACATTCTACTTGAAAAACAAGAATATTATGGGATATCAGGGATTGTTTTTGATTGGATTCAAAGTTACTTTTTTAACAGAAGACACAAAACTTAATTTGGGAAAGTATTGTCAGATGAACTTATAAATTTGATAGTGGCATACCCCATTGTTCCATTGCTTTTTATTATTCATGTAAATGATATTAACCACATTTCTGGATCACAGATGATAAATTGGTTTATTGTATGCATGAATCAGGCAATTATTGAAATGAACAGGTCTTTGAATAGCATTGAAACATATTTATTTAATGATAAACTTGAACTAAATGTCAGTAAAACAAAAAGTATGATTTTAACATCTTATAAGTATGATCAAATTGTTTGGGCAAATGCTGTCATAAAAACTAATAATATTCACATTGTTATGTTAACATAAAAAAACTTTTCTTGTTTCCTTCGTACATGTAAAAAATTCTGTGTATGCTAGGTTGACTCTTTTTAAAAGTCTAACACAACCACATTTTAACTATTGTACATTACTTTTTCTACTTGATGAAAATAAAATACCACAATTGCAAAAGCTTCAAAATTGGGGTATAAGATCAATATTGGGATGTAGCCGTTACACGGCAATTAAACTGATGTTACAGTGTCTAAACTGGTTTTCAGTTGAAGAACGTATATTATTTATGACTAGGATCTTTATATTAAAGCAGCATAAAGGATTGCTACCAAATTACTTTCCAAAATACTTATTGAGAAATAATTAAGTTCATCATTACAATTCGAGAAGAAATAACAATTTTTACATTAATAAAACTAATACTGAATTTGGAATGAAAAGTATATTTCATAAAGGAGTGAAAGAATTTCATGAACTACCACAATTTGTGAGAGAATTTAATTCAATGAACCAATTTAAGTCATCATTAAAGAAGTATAGTACTGACAGCTCATTATGATATTTGGTATTTTTTTGTTGGTGTTTCTTTAATGTGATCTAACCTAACAATTTATAGATATGAATTTCATTATTTCGGACTTTCATTTTCTGATATTATAAAAAATGACTTGAAATCCTAATTATATTGAGCAAAAAAACCTGAAATTAAATAATAGTGAAATAAAAAGTAAAAATAAAACAATTGAACAGAAACTAAAAGGTTGAGAGCCAAGTTACTTCACGACGTTTCGATTGTTAGTATTTCACAATCGTCTTCGGGTGATGACTGAAGTAATTCTTCCCAGTTATCTCCGCTTTCATTTTTTGGCTTCACCGGATTAGTGGGAGATGACCGTTTGGCGGTAGTAGGCCATTTTTCATTTGAATAGGTTTCCTTATGTTGCGTATCTCTACGCCAACTTGGATGAATACATTGTTGAATAACATGTATGCGACTTCTTTGAATTTCCTCCTAAACCAATATTCCTCAGATCTCAGCTTGGGACCACTCAATGTTATGTTGATGGGTCCAAACATGCTCCACTATTCCTGATTTGCTAGTTTCCTCTCGCTGTGTGCGTTTCTTGGACTCGGCAATGTGAACATTCAATGGCCTCTTAGTTTTACCAATATAGGGTTTTCCGCATACACAGGTTATCCTGTAACTGCAATTTTTGGAATCGCAGTCCGTGTTTGGTGGCTTGGTTTTCGTGATGCTGCTACGAATAGTCTTTCCGGATCTGAAGCAGGTTCTGGACCCAATTCTTCTTATCCTCTCCGATAATCCTCTGATATAGGGACGTTCAAGCACTGGTGGTAACAACTTCTGTTCCTTCCGAGGCTTCTGCTGTCCTTTAGCCAAAGTCTGTTCCACCATCGCTTTGAAGTAGCCATTCCATTGAATATCATTTTTGATGATGTCCAATTCCGTCTCGAGACCTTCCTTCGTATTACAGATCCCGAAAGTACGGTTTAATAAAGTCTTGATGATTCCTCTTTGACTCGTGGTTCAGATATTGTCCCGTGTGAGTGGGTTTTCGGTATACAGTTATTTCATTTCAGGTTTTTTTGCTCAATATAATTGTTATTTTTAGCTATTATTTTTCAATTCTTCTTTTTACTTCTTTCAGAGATTTCAAATCATTTTATATAATATCAGACAATGGAAGTCCGAACTAATGAAATTCATCATGTAACATCGCCAATCACCTTCAAACAATCTATAGATATGTATGTACATTTTGTTTTCCTTCAAATGTACTTTTAAATGTTCATTATATTTACATAGTTTAATAATGTAGGCTTGCCTACTAAATAAATATACAATAGACTCTTCAGGCGGGTCTATATCCGTGCCTATGATTGTAAACACGCCTGAGGAAGCTATTGTATAGCGAAACACGTGTTGCGGTTTTGTAAATTGTGTGGTGAAATGAAGTCTTTCTTGAATGCGTTATGGATTTTATTCAAGTGTCGGCTCATTCCATCAGATAACTTACTTGATGTTCTGGATGCTCTGCCAAACAATAAATGATGAAACTAACTGCTGAAGCCGTTGTATCATGCCCCTGTGAAATAAAAATCATATTCAGAAATATTGCTTTTTTCGGCCATATCAGAGAGTTCTTCATACATTTACCCTCATTTTGTTTTTGCCACTACTCACCGCGAACATAAATGTGTCAACTTCTTGCCTGATATCCTCATTGGTCAACGTTTCGTCTGGTGTTTGCAGGAGTAAGTCCAAAAAGGCCATTCTTTTTTTAATACCAGTTCCTTCGTCTTCTCGAGGAACAGAATCTCCCGAAGAGATCTCCTCCGCTCTTTTCCTGATCAGTTCTTTCTGCCTTGAAATTATGATAGAATTAGTTTTTTCATGCAGAGTGTTTACGTATTTTTTTTCTTTGTAATAGTCCGCCGTTAAGGGATACAACGTATTGAACATTTTTATTGGCGAAAAAGTTCTGTCGACTGTGATTCTGCACATTTCTTTAACAGCGAAAACATATTCTGATTGTGTGTCCGTTTGAGCGTTTATGGACACGCCCATGGTGGCTTCTGAAATAAAAAAGATTGGATGAAGAAATGATAATAATCGATACATTTTTTACGCAAATCTGATTATTCTCAATGTCGATAAACAAACTTTCGTGGTGGATAAGTGGGTCCAAAGAAGTAAGTAGATTTATTCGTCGATAGTTTATCATGGCTCGCGCTTATTCAATCTCAACTGAATTAATAAACGTCACTAATAAGATTTATATCGATGACGGGTGATTTCCATCGATGTGAAACGAACCCTACCAAGAACTATTATTCATCAATTGGCTCCCAAGTTTTTTTTTTACCTATTCAGGATTTGCACTGTATTATAGAAATAACAAAAATATCACATGCTTCTATCAACTTGAAAGGATTTAACGAAAACGACGGCACTCTTAAAGGCCAAAAAAACCAATACATAGAAAGCCGAACTAGTTCACATGGGCTGTAGACTTGGAGGTTCGTTTTGGATAATTTTCACTAACCGAGTTTTATGATTGGCTGAAGAGTCATAAAATTAAATTTGAAGTCATGTTACGGTGACGAATAGAAATTGGGAATACGGGGATGGTTACCGCCGTCGTGTTCAGTTCAGAAACTGATCGCGATTTGAATGTTGAAATTCGATATTGGTGCAGTTATGATTACTTAAAATTTTTGATATCTGTTTAAAATGTGGCGTCCTTGGACAAGTACTAATAATAATAACGAGTGTGATAACAACGCAGACTTTTTCAAGTGTAGTGATTCCAATAGCGATGGTGAACAATGCGAAAAATGCGAAACAGAGAGAGTATGTTTCAATGTATATATTAATCTACATCTCAAGTTTGGTTTCGAGGGAACAAACTATTACAAGCAACATCAGATTTGACCGAAATTCCTTTCTCAACTGTACGTAAAATAGTCAAAAACAAACCTTATGAACGCAAGACGCGATGTCTTGCGTTCATAACCATTAGATGTTCATTTAATCAAATCGTTGAAAAAAGCAATATACAACTGTTTGTAACAGCAATGAGATTCCTACAACTGAAATCATAAGGAAGACATTGGATACTTCCGGCCATTAACGTGAGCTGCTGTGGCAAAACTATTCAGAATATGGAAAGCAGAAGAATAGTGGAATTGCGTAACAAATACTCAGAACAAATAACAAAATATAGACATAAACTATGAAAAATTTTCTATTTGGACGAAAGTTGATATGACACTTTCGACAAAGTTACGAAAGCGTGGACTGATGGTTCGAGAATATGTACGCCTAACATGCCTGCGAACAAAGGATCGCAACTAATTATTGTGCATTGCGAAGGAAGTAAACGATGGGTTCTGAATTCTTTGAATATATGTGAAAAAACTTGAGGACTGCAATGTGGACTATCGTAAGAACATGGAATCTAATATTTTCGAGAAATGGTTTGAAAACACATTAATCCCAAATTTGGATCCGAATAGTGTAATAGTTCTTGACAACGATTCCTATCATTCGCGACAGCTCATCAAAGTACCGAATAAAAATTCGAGGAAAGATGAAATACAAAGTTTTCAATGGATAACAATTTGTATTTTGAAGATCACTATACCAAAAACCAACTACTTGAAGTTTTACAGACAAAAACATTCGAAAAAGTGTATGCCCTTGAGAGTACTGCTGAAAAGTATGGGCACACCATACTGAGACTTCCCTCCTATTTTTGTGTTTTCAATCCCATCTAGTTGATTTTTTGTATTAAGATGGACAAGTAGAAAGCCAAAAACTTTCTTGATATCGTTCTTTATCAATCAGTGATAAAAAATGCGAGTTCATGTTGAAGAAAAATTTGCTTGTACTGACCTCAACCTGAAGTTAAACATTTTAAAAAACATGTTATTCTTGAATTGAAGGGGTTATATTTTTTAGGAGTGATTAATTTTTGGGAAAGAAAGTTTTTGGCTTTCTACTGTTATTGTTAGTTTCGAAGATACTGGAGGAATAAAATAAGGCATTCCTTCTGCTGGTACATTTTATTTTGGTGAATTATCTGAATAACTTTCTATATTTTCCTCTCAGAAACTTTGTAAACGTTTTCATTCAGAAAAAATGAATCCATTTGAAGGATGTCTCGGGCAAAGGTTTGAAGTTTTGAGATTTTTTCAATATATTTGCGAATGAAAGTGATACAGTTTTTCCCTACGTATTACCAAAATAGCTAGGATTATTTCTTTGATCCTATTCAATAGTACTCCAAAATAGAAAACTTTGCACTCTAGAAAACAAAATGGTACCAACTTACCACAAATATTGTCCAAAGTATACATCGTGATATATGGAAAGACATCTACAAAGTCGTTTTCCTGTTCTTTTTCCAACAATCCAACAAGTATGTTCGCATTATTGTCGAAAACTTCAACAAACTGATCCACAATCGAGAAATGAAAAGCTGGAGTCAGCAATTTCCGGCTCTTCTTCCATTTGGAACCTGAACATTGAAACATTGAATTTTGAGAAAATTCAGTATGATTTTTGGATAAATTCAAGATAAGTAGTCCCAAAAATTTTGAAAAGACTCGCAAAGTTATCGAGCAGTAACTCCCCATAAGCAGTTACTAAGTTGAAAAAGTTGAGAAAAGTATTTTGTTTGAAGAAAATCTGATTTATTTATGGACCAATTTGGGGAACTTCACCTGCCACAATCTGAGAAAATTATTATGGATAACTTTATACATGTCTAGAATTAGCAAGGTCAGTTTTTTCCAGTAATAAGGTAATTCAAGGAAGACTTCATTGTGAGATTTTCCCTAATTAATTTTAAAAAAACGCAAAACGTGTTCCGCTACCCAATAACTTCTTCAGGCATGTCTAGTTAGAAAACACGCCTGAAGAAGTTATTGTATAGCGAAACACGCGATTCGTTTCTGTAAAACTGTTCAGTGAAAATCTCAAAGTGTTTTTGAATACAGTATGGATTCCATCACATATCAGTAATAAGGTATTAAGTATTAATATACTATCAATCAGTTTCTTGTATTTGCTAAATTTTTATATGTGTTGGTGAAGTTTGAGAATGACACGGATCAACTGCAAGTTATATTTGAGTCAAATTTTGGCAATCACTGAATACAGTGTGTAAAAGCCAAATGGAATAAATTCATTATTTCGGTTACTGTATACATTAAAAAAAATCCCGAAACACGTCGAATGAAAATTTTAATTTGAAATTCTTCAACGTAAAAATGCCACACCTACCTTTAACCCCCTTCGAATGACAGGTACAACCCCCAATTTTATAAATGGGAAGGAAGTATAGGTTTGTGATATATCGTTTGGAAGGTCTCTTTATTCTCTATTCAAAAATGTTATCGCTTTCGAATTTATTGCAACAATTAAAATAAAATAAATTAAAATCATGTGGTTATCGAAATTCGATAAAATACACTCAAAAACTAAAATGTAATGCAAAACGTTATGAAATGTAGAATACGAAAAAGAACTATGGATGTTAACGAAGTAGATGTTCAAAATGTTCACCGTGAACGTCTTGGCAACATCCGAATCTCAAATAAAACTGTCTTTAACATTATTTAACATATCAGGCGATCCTCGCCTCCCTATCCACCGATTGGGAAATGTTGTATTGAGGTATTGCCGGACATCAACTCGGTAATGTGGTGGTGCTCCATCCTGCTGAAACCACATCGTATTCACTGGAACTTGAGGGTTTCCCGGATCAGGATATGAATTTGCTAAACTTGTAATGACCTCATTTTGAAGTAGTGTCAAATAATTATCGCCATTCAAGTTGCCCTCAATGAAAAAGGGACCAATGATATGGTTTCCTACAATCCCTGCCCAAACATTAACCTTTTGAGGGTATTGTGTGTGTTCTTCTCTCATCCAGAGACAAAGTACACTCATCAGAAAAAACATAACGTCTTCTAATTGGATGATTTCGTTATCCAACATGTCCGTCATTTGCTTACAAAAATAAGTTCTTCTTTCAAAATCGTCTTCCATGAACTTCTGAGTAGGTATCATTTTATAGGTATCACTACATTGAATGTAGTGGATGCCTGTATACTCGATGTATGTGGGTTTTCCTCAAACTCAAGCATCACATCTAATTTGAGTTCATCACTCATTGCATTGGCAGCTGCTTTTTTTATCTGCCCCACATGACCAAGCTCACGAAACTGCTTCTCTATTTTGCTTAATGTTCCTTGAGATATGGGCGGTGAATTAGGAAATTTCTCATGAAATAGGCGAGCTACTTCCTGTTGTGTTTGGGTTTCATCTCCGTAACCAATCATTTGTAAAACTGTTATTTTATGCATTTCCGTTTATCTAACCATTTGTCAGACTTGAAGTTAACGAACTTTCAAAGTAAATTGAAATACTGACAACTAATGTTAAGGCATACAAAACAAGTTGACAAGGCGATTTAAACTAAAGTTGCCACGGAAATTATTTACGGTTTTTTAAAGGATACCATCTAAAAAGAAAATCACTATGGTTTTTGCTCACTTTCTTATTATCAATACCTCAACATGAAATAAGTTTTGAGTATATTGCAATACATTTTGAGTGTATTTCATCGAATTTCGGTAACCACATGATTTTAATTCATTTTATCTCAATTGTTGCATCAAATTCGAAAGCGATAACATTTTTGAATAGAGAATGAAGAAACCTTTCAAACGATATATCACAAGCTTATACTTCCCATTCAAAAAATTGGGGGTTATACCTGTCATTCGACGGGGGTTGAAGGTAGAAGAAACATTTGCTTGTTAAAGGATGTCAAATTATAATTTAAATTTGACGTGTTTTGGGATTTTGTTAAAATATGTACCGTAATCGAAATAATGAATTTATTCCATTCGGCTTTTACACACTGTATATATGTATAATACCTCAGCTCTTCTCTGTTAGGCAAAATTATCAAATACGACCAGTTACTGATAAACATAATAATTTTTTTCCATTACAATTTTTTTTCGAATTATAGAAGGTGAAAATCACTTGCAAGGTTAATGAAAAACCTTGAGAGATTTTAAATAATCCTATTATTTTCTTACCGAGGAAAATGAATAGTATCATGAAATAGGAGGTACATTTATTTTTTAACAGTGCCATGTATTTACGTACATATACAGTGCTACACATACAGTCGGCAACATATGAAAGTTTTGTATTAATAGATTCATTCAAAATTTATTCTGCAGCAACTTTGTGCTTGAGAGTAAAAAACAGCCTCTTTTCTTTCGTCATGTGCTACTCCAAACCTGTCATTTTGACATTTTTTTCGAAAATTCCCTAAAAATCAGGTTTCAAATAACGACTGGGAAAAAAGTTGTTCAGTTTCCAAAGTCATACCATCCCTCCAAATTTGTACTCTCTACTGTCACTTGGGTTTCTTATAATTTTTCGAGTGTTTCTCTCTACAAACATAATCAAAGTTTATTATTTTGATAGATACGAGAGTTCTATGTCATATCTTGCCTAGAAAATATTCGCATTGGCCTGTTATCAGAAAAAAAACCATACACCTCCAGCAAATTTGTCTTTGTTCATGCAAAGTTTATCTTTTTTTTTCATCTCATTGTGAAATTAATTAATATGTTTCAGGTAAGGAAGTTGATATATCAGTACCTGAGTTTCACTTCGTTTTTATTACTCTCGTTTCTCTCTCAATAGATTTTTATTCAGTTTGATTATTCTTTGACCAATAATTCAGTTATACACAAACCCGAAATATCTTACTTTTCTGTAAACTGAACATTGACCTATAGTTTCATAACTATTCAAAAGACTTTCGATTTAGCGATTTGGACTGAACATATTAACGTACATACAAAATTGTTCCATATTAAAATGAAAAAAAAAATAGATAAGCTTCGCAACAACAGAGACGGATTTCGGAAGATGCATACTTTTTCTCTGATAACAGGCCAATGTGGGTTTTTTCTGAATCAAAGTCTCTATCCACCAAAATTATGAAATATGAATCATGTTTCGGTCGAATCGTTAGAACGAAAGATTCGAATAAATAAAAAACCTGGAAAAAAGACCAAGTGGCAATGGAGAGTTCAAATATGGAGAACACGTGTGGAAATAGAATACGTGCTATTTTTTCTTTGGAATTTTTTGAAATCCCCAAAAAAACCTGGTTTGTTGAGGATTTTCGAAAAAAAATTTCAAGTTTGGCAGGTTTGAGTAGCTCACGACAAAAAAAAAAGACAATGGCTGTTTTCACTCATTTGCTGAATCAAATTTTGAATAAATATAATAATTATGAATACTCTGATCAGTTACTTGATGAAAATTGATACCACTATTCGTAATGATAATAATTATAGAATTTTCAGAATAAATTTTACTCAAAACATATTCCGCTATACGGTAGCTTCATCAGTTACGGTTACATCAAACTAATCTACAATATATTTAATATATTTTACAATATCTTCAACCCTTAAAGATATTCTACAATATCTTCCATAGGTAATAACAAAACAGGTAGACTTTGATTAAAGAAACAATATTCTAGAAAACAGGTACAATGTTGACATTTTATGTTGAAACTCAATTAGATGAATGGTGGCAAAACCGGTAGATTTAGAAAGCACAAGTTATTCGCTGGGAAAATATATGTTACCTCATCACCTTTGATAATATCTACCGCAGTATTAGACGAAACGGCAGGCAGAAAAACCTGCATACCATAAAACCCGGAAAATAGCTTTTGACACATTCATCTGTGAAAGTTTTCATTCTTTGATCGACCAACAAAAAGTTATTCATTCACCATGAAATGTCAATTGAAAACATTTACATATTGACTGTTTCCCTAAAAATAATGTGGTACTAATTTGTGCTTTCTCTACCTGTTCTGCCAGAATTAACCATTTATCTAACTTTGATATAAAATGCCAGTATTATACCTGTTTGTATCCAATTGTTTATTAAAAACCTACCTGTTCTGTTATCAACTACTCTTATATAAGAGATATTGTAGAATAGCATTTTGAATAAAATTTATTGTAAAAATTCTATAATTATCATGATGAAGTAAATGTATGATTGAAAAGAAAACCATTCATATGTTGCAGAATTTCCATGTGACGCAATTTCATCGATGCTTCTTGTTGAAGCCATTATATTGATGCACTAGCTCTCTGAAGGAAATGGCGTTAAATTGTAACATATGCATATCAACAGTTACCCATTTTGAACCTAAAACAACGCATGATGCACTGAATAACATTATCCATTGAAAGAAAAAATTATGGACGATCATTTTTTCCGAATGACACTTGGGCGAAGGGCGCTTGGTTTCGAAGATACGGGGCGAAAAAGAATTTTGACAATAATAATTTTAGTAATTTCAAAATGATTAACGTACTCAAAATGAAAGTATAGCATACTACACTGGATCAACCAAGTAATAAAAAATCTAACAATTCCATTGGTACCTATCAACAACATTCCGATTACTAGAAACGGCTGCAGACATTCAATTTGAATAGTATGTCTCGTAAGTGATAATTTATATGTGTCCAATAGGTTGAAACTGTTCGACTTTTTCTATTCGACGTGCATTTTCTCTGTTTAATATTCAAAAAGTCTTGTTAGTGAAATCCTTTATCATAAATGGCTATAGTAACGCAGAGATGGCTGACATGCATTTCATTCATGGACTTGCTGATGGCAATTTGTTGGAAGCTAGGCGGTTGTACAGTGAACGATTTCCTAATTGTAATGTGCCTTATAGAAAAACCTTCCAAAGTATACAAGACCTCGTGAAACAGGAGCACTGAAGCGAAATTAAGGTCAGGAAGATCAATGACAGTAGGAACGGTAGAAGTAGAAGAGAATGTGCTGGCCGTGATAGAAGAAGATCCAGGTACCTCTACTCAAAATATTGCAAATACTTTAAATGTAAGTAACGGAACGATTTGGAACATTCTTAGAGACTATTTTTTGTACCCATACCCACATACAACGAGTTCAGGCACTTCTTCCTGGAGATTTATTTTCACGTACTGCATTCTGTAAATGGCTTTTGCGCGCATTGGTTCAAATCCCTCCACTACTGACGCTTATTCTTTTTACCGATGAAGCCAGTTTCTCAAGAAATGCCATAAGGTATTTCCACAATAACCATGTTTGAGCTGAAGGAAATCCACATCAGGTGCTTGAAGAACGCTTTCAACATCAGTTCTCGTTGAACGTTTGGGTGGGAATTGGACCGGTATTTCTGCCAGGAAGACTTACCGGCGAGGTATACCGCAACTTTTTGGAACAATCGCTAGCTCAATTTATGGAGGTTGTGCCATTGGTCACAAGAAATGTAATGTGGTTTATGCACGATAGTGCACCAGCGCATTTTAGCATATTGGCTCGAGAGTTTTCAACAGTATCATACGGAGATCGCTGCGTTGGTCGAGGTGGACTTCACTTATGGCCTTCTCGATCTCCGGTCTTGAACCGCCTGGATTATTTTCTATGAGGCCACCTAAAGTTTATTGGTTTATACTACTCTACTGGAAGATTTGAGAAATCGGATAATTGCTAGATGTAACGCAATCAGAAACGATTCTGGGGTTTTTGAAAGAGTTCGGGAATCGATGAGGAGACGATTGGATTCTAGCATCCGAGCGAGGGGTAGTTATTTTCAACAGTTCTTGTAGATTGTGAAACATTACATGCGCTTTTTGGCAATAAATTGTTATTGTCGAAATTCTTTTTCGCTCCGCGCCCTATCAAAGCGCCCTATCAAAAATAATCAAAGAACAAAATATCTTCAGAATAGTCCAAGGAATAGTCCCTTAAATTTTTGCCGTATATTCAATGAACACCCTGTATAACTACGTTGTTTGAAGGTGGTTGACAATGTTTCGTGGGGCATTCCATTAGTTCGGACTTCCATTATCTAGTGAAGTAACTTGGCTTTATTTTCAATTTTCATCACGTTAGTAGCTCAATTTTTTGTTTCATTTTTTGATTGTTGCTTGTATTTCATTTCATTGTAATTTCCGGTTTTTTGATTATTATAATTGTTATTTTTCAGCTAATATTTTTAATTCTTTATACTTTCAGGGATTTCAAATTGATTTATATCATATTGAATAATGAAAGTCCGAACTAATGAAATGCACCCTGTATAACTGTCATCCTCGCAGTAAACGCACATACCATAGCAGGGGAGCCCACGATGCAAAATGGGGATTTACTCGGGCGTCATAGAGACATATCAGGTTGCAAAGCTTAGATGATAAGAAAAAAATGTTATATAATATATACCTTTTCATCGGTGGGGGAAGCTGCTATAGATTATTAAATATGTAAAAAAAAATGTTGCATGGACATACTCGAGCGCCTCAGACATTTGATACCATCAATGACCTACGTATTTTTAATAATGTTGGTATGTTAATCTGAACCTTTGCATGATGTGAGTGGTTGTACGTAAGGGTTAAAAATGAAAAAAAATATTCAATCGAGCGCGTCAGGGGATGTTAAGTGCACCAAAAAAAAGCTCTCATTCAATAATCTGACGATTTTGATCTAACGCAAACTTGCGGCCATTATTATAATGTGCAAAAAAATCGTCATTTTGAAATACTCAAGCGCGTCAGATTAAGATATATATGGTTCATCTTTATGTTTTAGACGTATCCTACCACGTAGTAACGGCTACATCCATCAATTAATTGATTGATTAATCATCATCTTCATCACGAACGAGTCTCTGTGATCAGCTGTGATGGCGCCATGGCAACAGAATTCAGAGTGGGGACGGAGTCAGAGAGTGATAGATAGAGAAAAAGTAAAAAAGGAATGAAAACGTGGAGAGGTAAATATAGGCATCACGCAGCTGCACGCATTAAACTTTCTCGACGAATTTTTGCTGTTTCGACTTGCGGAAATAGTCAGATTATACATTTTTCGATATCCTTTAATTATTTTCAAAATAAAAAAAACAGCTACGCTCGAGAATGTCGAAATGACGTTTTTTTTACAACTTCGATGACCTCCCCTTTCTTTACGTCACTCTCATATTGTCAGATCACTGGAATATACACTTTTCAGCATGTAATTAACTCACCCTACCTTAATCTGACGCGCTCGAGAATTTCTGATGATCAATTTTTTTTTACTAATCTGATCCTTTATCCTTCACGGGCGGCATTATATATGGGGCTCATATTTGGTGGAGGTACTTAACCGGGTACAAAGTATCCCCCTGTATATCAATCTGCCGCGCTTCAGTAAATCCCGAAATCCCCGCTTGGGCTCTCCTATTACCAGTGATAATGTATGCCGCAGTAACGGACGGAACATACGGTACTTTAGGTCCATACGGCCACGATCTACTAGCCGGGATTTTGTTCTCTTGAATTTTTATCCATTTATATTCTTGTATAGTCTTTTATAGCACATTTGATATTCTATGCATAATTTTGTTTAATATTTACAAAATAAAAGAAACTCACCTTCAACTGTGAGGAGTCCTTTACCTAGCCAGTTATTCAAAAATTTATAAGAATCATTCTTGTCCAAGATTTCGTTGGAATTCAGCACAAACTCGAGGAACTTGTAGTCGGAAACAAGGAGAAACCTCTTGCCGAACAAGTTCAACCTGGCCAGCCCGTTGTATTGCCTACAGTAGTTTGAAAATACATTGAGGATCTCTGAAAAATCAAAACGAAGTCATATAAATATATTTTCAATGATATCAGAGAGCAAAATCCAGTCTGGTGTCATCTTCATTGGTGTATGCGTTGTCTTTGAGACACTACACTACTTTCGTCCTTGCTGAAGATATCTGCCGCAGTAACAGACGAAACTCATGGTGGTTCTACAAGTTCCATTCGACCACGGTCCACCAGACAAAATTTTGTTCTCAACAATCGTGACACCGGCCGTGAAAGCCTATGTTCTTATATTTATGTTTATCATTCAGAGAAAGTATTTGAAAAAAAATATGCACATATTTGGATTTCACAACTACACCGAAAACGATTTGATCTTCACAGACTTTACTTGCATATCACAACATGTTTCGGTATTACAGTAGATTTTTCGTAGTAAAAACATACCAAAAACTAATATAACCCACGCAATCACCAGTGAGAACTACCTGCTCAGGAACATAATCCTAATTACCTAGAGCATATAATTTCTACATCTACTCAACTTTTATATAACTCAGGTGCATACTCAGTTATAATTACCTAGAGCAGAGAGAAGAAACACGCAGGCCGCGGGTTGCTTGCGGCCCTTTAAACATGTTTATGCCCTCACCTGGAACGCTCACTTGGAAAAAGTTTCACACAAAGCCAGACTGTTCCCATAACCATGTCGAAGGATTTGTGGTCAAACTATTAGATCCCAAACAAATCCATTGGATTTAAGTGAAGGCTTGTCTGACCATCAGTACCACACCGTCAGCGGTCATGGAGATCCTTCTAGATCTGTCTCCTCTTCACATTTTTCTGGAGAGAGAGGCTAGATGGACTGCATATAAACTTGTACAGTAAAGTGCAACAGACTGATGGTTGACACTGGAAGTCACAGCATTCTAGAAATGACCTCTGTCTTTATGCATCCAATTGTCAACTACGAACTGCCTTATAAAGTACTATTCCCGAGTAGAGAAGACTGGATGCTCCGGGAGAAGGAAACATTAAGAGCAGATAGTTGTTGGTTCACAGATAAATCAAAAACACCTTCCGGTTCTGCTACAGGTGTTTTAAGTCGCAGACCCAGGACTGAGATATCAACCTGGCTAGGAACCTATGCGACTGTATTCCAAGCAGAAATTTACGCTATTGAATTATGTGCGAAGAAATTGGATAAATCCAACCTCACACACAAGTAGCAAATTGGTAGCAAATTGCCAAAAACGACTCTCCTCGATAGGAAGACTTAACAGATTGTCTCTGGTCTGGATTCCTGGCCATACTGGCCTGGGAGGCAATGAAGCTGCCGACTCTCTTGCAAAGGAGGGTGCTGCTGCAAGTGGCTTCAACAGGACCAGAACCTGCCATTGGCATCGCTTTAGGCTTTGCAAAACGAAACACTGAACACCTGGATGGCAAGAAGAGTTATTGACTTCTGGCAGAATCTTCCAGGATTGGCTCACTCCAAGGCGTTTATTCATCCTTCGAAGCTTGATACCGAACAGTTGTTGGACTGTTTGGAAAATGATGAAACAGCAAAGCTCATACTTTCTGCCTGCCCCACTGGGGACCGAATGAGTTCGGCAAAGCCGTACTTTTACCATCTGACCTGAAAGACCTCTCACCATACAAACTAATCGGCTTCGTTAAGAAGCTGGGGTTTTTTGGTCGAGTGTGAATAGATGTGAGTCACAATTAACCCTTGCGGGTTGCGGTGGAGGGTCGAATAGATCCACTCACGGGATCTATCCACTCCACTAACTTAACTTGGTATTGACACCAAATTTAATATTACCGAAGAATTGTGTGCACTGATAACAATGCAAGGGACTATAACCGGCAAAGACCTGTACAATGAATTAAAGTCTGTGTTGAAACATGTTTTAATTTAATCAAAAGAAATTAGTGCTATATCGACAGATGGAGCACGAGCAATGTCAAGCAAGGAGGTAGGAATATCGGGAAGACATCAAGAAGGTCACTGGAAGGGAAATATTCGTTAACCACTGCATAATTCACCAGAAAAATTTGTGTGCGAAAAGATAGAGTTTGCCAAATGTCACAGAACCAATAATTGAACTAAGCAATTTTATAAAGCCGCGCGCGTTGAATCACCGTGACTTTAAAGAATTTCTGAAAGATTTGGAAAATGAATATGGCGACGTGGTTTTTAATAACGAAGTACGTTGGCTTAGTAGAGGTGCAATGCTAAGAAGAGTATTCAACCTAAAAACCGAAATACAATTGTTCTTGGATATGAAGGGATACGCCTTTCCCCATTTTGGTAATAAAGAATGGATGAGCGATTTTGAGTTTCTTATCGACATAACTTCACGGCAAAGGACAGTTTATTCATAATTTGTATTGTAAAATGCAGGGCTTCGAGCGCAAATTATAATTGTGGAAACAGTATCTTTTGCAGAATAATGTGACTCACTTTCTACATTGAAAAGATAACGTTACTACTTCTCAAAATACGCACAATACATAAACATTTTCATCAACGAATTTCAATTACGATTCCAAATGTTCAAAGCTGAGAAGATAGCTGTTTCCATGAAAATGTTTTCCTCGCCATTTAATATCGATGTGAATACAGTTCTCGAAGACTTTCAGTTAAAAGTGATTGACATTCAGAATAATACCGATTTGAAAAATGTATTTTTCTCAGTAAACATCACAAATTTTAATAAATCTTGTGTGAGCTCTGAGAAATTTCCGCTTTTGACGAAAAATGCAAAGTAAATGATGTCTCTGTTCGGAAGAACGTATGTTTGCGAACAATTATTTTCAACCATAGAATTAATCAAAAATTATCACCGATTAAGACTGAGTAATGTACGATTGAAAAGCTGCGTACGTGTAGCTACCTTTCTTGTTTGTTTTTTTGCATGATATTTGTATATGAAATCTTCATTTTTTTCAATGTTTTTTTTTTATTTTAATGTTTTTTATAAATAAAAGTTTTGTAAATTATCAGTAAGTGTTATTTTTTGTTCGGCACGCCAAAAATTTCAAAATTTAAATTGGCCCGTTGATTGAAAAGGTTGCTCACCCCTCACCAAGAGCATACATTACTTCTACAATAATAATATATTTACTAAGACTAGTTATGATGCACTGTTTGGAACCTTTTTCAATTTTATCTGTTACCAATAGCTCTTGAGTAGGAATATAGAAACTTTTTTCAGAAACATATGATTTTTCACAAATTTTGTTTGTGTTTCAACCGCTTTCTGCTTAGATAAGTTTGTTGGGGGCTGAAATGGTCACCAACATGTTTTGGGACCTTCATGTCGCTGGAATTGCAAAGGCTGCTTCTCAAAAGCTTGTAACACTGCTCCGAACCAGAAAACTGTACACACCTCAGCAACTTTTGATGCTTTTTAAAGCTCAGATCAGAGTTCATTTGAAGTATTGTTCTCATGTATGGAGATCTGCCCTCAAACATACCCTGAAGTTGCTGGATTCCATCCAGAAAAGAGTCATCCGGCTAATTGGAGACACGAACATCACGTGCAACCTTGATAGCCTGGAACATAGAAGAAAGGTTGGAGATTTGTCTCTCTTCTATAGATAATTTCACGAGAAATGCTCAAGTAATTTGGCACATTTGATTCCACCAAGAGCAGTACATATCAGAAATACGCGACGTACTGTGGCTGCTCATCGTTTTGAGGTTCAACTCAGTACAACTCGAACTTCACTGTTTCATGTGGAATAAACTTTCTGAGAAAGTTTTTCCGAATGGATTTAATCTCCACTGATTCAAATCCAATGTGAATCACTACTTCCGCACAGGCACCGCTTTTAGAGCGCCTTAAGGATTTTCCTGGAGACAAAATTATTTCTCTCAGACAAAATGATCACATATCCCATGCTTGTGAGGTTTGATTATTGTTTCATGAAGTTAACATGTCCTGAGAATGGGTTGGAGCTTCAGGTACATGGCCTAACCAATAACCTTATTTTGGAAAAAACTGATGAAAACAAATTTTTTCTACCTAATTTTTCTTCATTGAGTAAGTACATTTCTTTAATGTCCCCCTCCTTTTTATTTTTTGAATGGGTCAACTCAAAAAATTGAAATTTGGGATAATGAAATTATTGCATGAATACTTTATTTTAAAGTAAAATAGACAGATGAAACTTTCAAGATTACGACTGGGCGCCATCTGGGAAAAAAATTAATGGAAAGGGGGGTCTTGTGGCACATATTTTTGAAGCTCCTGACAAATGCTTCACAACCCTAGAATATAATGTCAATATCTTCAACTACTACAAAATGACGTAACTTTTAATAATTGCCTGAATTTATTAACATTTAACTATGAGGTAATAAGCTCGGGGTCAGTTCAGAAGATGCTTGAAATGGTTGCCTTGACCTTCTTGACATATAAACAGCCATGTGATATTTCACGCCGAACATTTTCGAACACAGTAACGTCAATATCTCTACAAATATTTATTATTCTCTGCCGTATATCCGATATTGAAGCAGGTTCAGTTTCGTACACCTTTTGCTTCAAATAACCCCATGAAAAAGTCTAACGGTGTCAAATCTGGCGAGCGGGCTGGCCATTCTGTAGGAACTCAACGGCCAATCCAACGACCAGGAAAAGTAGTATCCAAATAGTTTGTTACTTGTCTGGAGTAATGTGGTGGTGCTACATCTTGTTGGAATACAATATCCATATCGGATTCATTAGGATTCCCTTCGATGATTTCAGTGATGAGAGAGTCAACGGTAGTTTCCAGCATATTCAAACTCAGTTCCCCTGTTAAATTTTGATCAATAAATAGAGCTCCTACAATATCGAGTGTCTATGATTTAACTCAAAAAGGAAAGGATTAGTCAATATTTTTCTCCTCAGAAAAAAATTTGGATGATGGAATTATCAATAATTCGACATTTCTGGGAGATACAAAAAATCAAAAAATTTTTTCCCAACAATCTCATATTTTCCAAAGCACTTTTCTGACGGAATCCGTATGAGGAAAGCAATAAATGACATTTCATTTGAAAAAACGTAACCTAACTACTAGGTACCCTGTATATTGTGAATACTTAAAAAAACGAATTCATTGTTATCTAAAGTGTTCATATGATACAATTTTGATAACTAAACACCTTACCATCCTTCTAATGGAAGTTATATGCGACAGACATTATATATGTTTCTATTTTTTGTACGCCACTGACTATAGATATATTCATATATGCTAAACTCGTCATAAATCTCACATATTTTCCATTTGCAGTCAAAACAAAACCTCTGAACTTTTTCGCCTATAACTTTTTTCTAGGAATCCTTGAAAGTATTTTTTACAACTGCTATCTACCCACAGTTTTTTCTTCGAATACTCAGTGAATTAGACAGTAAGTATAATATTCTGAATACCAAGAGGCTGGAAACGTAAAAACTACAGAAATGAACCCTTATAAATCTCATTTTAATTTCACATGAATCATCAAGAATATTCATTTGAACATAGATTTCCTACCTGGACAATAAAATAAATAAAAATTTTCACTATACAAGAACATTGAATAAAAATTGAATAAAAATCATTCTATAAGCATTATGAATTCAAAATCAGAGTAGAGGCTTTTGCAGTAATTTTGTCACTGTGAAGCAAAATACACAACTGACACAAAAATAATTCAAAACAAGATTTTCCAGGCAGCTTAAAATCATTTAAATTTTTAACTTCATTTTTGCACCACATGTGATCAACTTCAATAGACCTGTTTGAATTTTTATTTTGCAACAGAGGGGCAATTCATAACAAATTTATAATAGAACAAAATTATCCTATGCAGCAGAAATTTTGCATATGATCAAAAAATTACATTTGGAATTTTTTCTTACAACTATATTCGATATTTTGAGGAACAAGCTAACTTTTAATTTGTTTTCTATTTCAAAAAAACTAATACTTTATAATAGTCACATATATTGCGGGCTCTACTGATCACAGTATATAGTTTCTTTAAAGAAGTGGTAGGAGGGGGGGTCCTCTTGACCCCCTAGTATCTATCACTGTCCTCTTTCTTTTTATGAATATTAAAAAATCGACAAAACAAAAAACATTTTTTTGGAATTTTTTTTCTAGAAATCCTTTCCAGGACTTCCCATATTACAAACTACTCGGTTTTTGAGATGCCCTAACCAACTTACCAGTGGACTTGCTCAAATTCAAAATACACCCCAGAAACGGCAGACCGGGCACTTCCTCAACCCATTCAATCTTTCTCAGGTATTCCCTCCTGCTGAACCACACGTACGTGAAAATGGTTATCGCGATCCCAAACAATATCGGGGGAAGAAAACTCCATTCTAGTGCGACTTTTGAATCCATTGTTCGCACGTACACCGAATCGAACCACCTTCACCTTGACTTGCGCTAGAGAACTGAATAAACGGAATGGATCAAGATAAAATTCGCGTATTCTGTACACACTAGGAAATTGACGAACATGTGAGAGATTGACTAGACCCCAGAGGCGTACCGTTGCGGTGGGGAAGCCATTTGCTTCGATAACAAACAGCGTGAAAGGATGGAAAACAGGGGCTAATTCGGAAAATGGTTTGCATTCAGGAAAATCGGTTATGACTGATGAACATTGGATAGCAAATAATTTGGCTAAAAATTTTGGAAATGCCGATACTGCTATGATTCCTAATGCTTTTGGAAATTATAAAATCGTGGGCAAATACTTATTTAGCGAAATTAATAACGTTTTTGTAACATAACATTCGAAAAGATAATGAAAATAGTGGCCTCATTGAAGAAGAAAACTAGTTCGTTATCCACGATAGTGATTATGGAATTTTACAATAAATGTTTTAATGGATAGATAAATTTATTGAAGTTATCGAGTTGAAGATATGAAAACTCAAGCCAGTGGGAAACAAATGTGAAATATAACAAAAGAGTATCACAGGTTTATCATTTCGTGGGGGTAGGTACATGTTTATATAACTGACCATGTGAAAAAAAGAAACGTGCAATACCAGATATAAACTCATTTGTTTGAGATATATAAATATTAAAATACAATGAAACATACTATCGCATATACCTATCATGTATACATTTGTTGAGATTATAGACATTTTAATAACTACTCGTAATACTAGTATCTGTCGTTCTACTGTTTTCTGAAACCGTCATGAAATTGCCATAAACAATTCTTGCATCGAATATGACTCCATGTTACACAACAAATCGAAAACTAGATTCTCAAAAGTATGCCGTCTGCCTTCTTCTTTGATTGTAAGTGGTGAATGATTGTATAATTTGATGGCCATATAGCGTGGACCTCTTCATGGAATGGAACGTTTCGTGTCAACATGGCCACCATCAACTTTTTTTTAATTATTATTATATTGATAAAGCGATAAATTCACAATCCAAAGGTATATCACATTTGATATTTATATAGCGTTTCATTTGAAATAATCACCATCATCAGTGACAACAATGAAACAGAAAAACAATTCATATTTTATCATGAACTTTTGGGAAAAAAGAAACCAATATGTAAAATCAAAGCTACATGGCAATCTACATTAAATGCTTGAATTGATGACCTCTTTGTTGAATGCACATAAGTTGTCGGTCCAGACAATTTCTGTGACAATTTTCTAGCAAAATAGGTGTAATACTAATACATGCATCTCTTATTATTTGTATGAGATGGTCGATATCTGTACTTGATGTTGAAAACATTTTATCCTTTATGCATCCCCAGAAAAAAATATCTGAAGGAGTAATATCTGGGGAGCGAGCTGACCAGTTAATTGGTCCATTATTTCCAATCCATTTTCTTGGAAATATTGCATCTAAATGTTCCCTTACTACTGCTGCATTATGGGGGAGAGCTCTGTCTTTTGACAATATTGTATTTCATGTCATATATTCAGTGACAATTCATCTAAGTAGCCACTGAATTTATTGAATAGAAAATGAAGGTTCATTTCACTATTCAAATAATCATCGTGAAAGAAAGGGCCAAGGATATTTGTTTCCACAATTCCCAATTAAACATTTATTCCGAACCTTTCTTGGAAATTGGTTTCCCTATGAAAATGTTCATTTTTATTATTCCACCTATATTGGATATTCGTATCGAACCAACCATTGTTGATGAATTTTTATTCGTCCGTCCATATCATTTTTTTACAAATATTTCCAACTTCCCTATTTCTACGTCTTAACCACTTCGCAAATCGTACTCTCCTTCCGTGATCTCTTTCATTGAGGTGATGAACTTTGCGTATCCGGTAGCATTTATATTTGTTCTTTTTTAAAATAGTTCTGGTGGATTTTACAGAAATTCCCATTTCATGGGCAATTTATCGTAAAAACAATCTTGATTAATATAATTTTTGTAGCTGGTCAATCCTAAATTAATCCAGTCATTTAAGCTTAAATTAGGTAAAAATCTCGGAATTCGAGATACCCAGCTGTAAGTCTGTAAATACTTGTATATTGACACCCTAAAAGTTGTCTCAAAACCTACATATGGTAGGGTGTAAGCAACTATTAAATTTCAAGGTCAAAGGTCACAAAAATCGGCTTTTTGCGCTTTTTTGGAAATATCTCATTTCCAATGGTTTTTTTGCTATTTATATTTATTAACAATATTGTAGAATACAAAATTCTCTACAAATTTTGTTTGAAAAAATTTTTTATACGGTGAACCGTTTTCGAGATAGAGGACGGAGAGCGCGCGGTCACAGCATCACTTCAGGTCAACCGGTGCCTCCGGTCGAAAACGCGCCATATATAGTTGATGAACTATCGATAAATCAATGATTATAAATATTTGTCAATTTCTATTAACTATTATATTATATTTTATCATTTTCTTCATGCATTAAATCTATATCTATTCAATCATAC